GTTCATAACAAATATCACATATTTCATAACCACATCTCATAACCAACACCATTTTGTTTATAACTAGTATCACATATTTCATAACCAGAATCACATATCTCATAACCACATCTCATAACTAACCCCTTTGAGTCATAACCAACATCACATATCTCATAACCACTAGTCACATATTTCATAACCACTAGTCACATATCTCATAACTAACACCATTTTGCTCATAACCACATCACTTTGATCATAACCAATATCATATATCTCATAACTATTGATCATATATTTCATAACTATCACCCACATGAATCATAACCACATCTCATAACCAACCCCTTTGAGTCATAACCAACATCATATATCTCATAACCACTAGTCACATATCTCATAACTAACAACCTTTTTGCTCATAACCATACCACTTTGATCATAACCAATATCTCATATCTCATAACCACTAACACATATAGCATAACGAAACACCCTTTGACACCACTTTGGTTATAACCAAAATCACATATTTTATAATCACTAATCAAATATCTCATAACCATTACCCACATATCTCATAACCAACATCACATATATCATAACTACTAATCACATATCTCATAACCACACCGCTTTGATCATAACCAACATTACATATCTCATAACCACTAATCACATATCTCATAACCAAACATCCTTTGACTTATAACTACATCACTCTGCTCATAACCAAAATCACATATTTAATAATCACTAATCATATATCTCATAACCTTTACCCACTTATGTCATAACCATATCTTGCAACCAATACCATTTGCCTCATAACCAACATCACATATATCATAACTACTAAACACATACCTCATAATCACTACTCATATATAGTGGTGTAAATTTGGCCCACGAGCTTGCGGCACACCCTAAGTCCAGTCGCGCCCTGGGTGGGCCCAACCAGGCCTGAGCCTAAGCCCAACCTAAGACCCTGGGCTATGTGGTCTAGAGCTTGGCTCGACTCTGGTGTGCTATGAAGTGTGACCCATCTCATGAGCTCGGCGAAATTTTTTTCCCCATCTGGCCCGACCGGACCCCAACGACTCCCTACCCCCTTGTTAGTGCAACGGTCAAAAATTAAAAATAAAATAAAATTGTAACAGTCATATAACCGTTAATTTCACCAACAACCAATTTTATTATTTTTTTAAATTTTATATATATTAACCCCTCCCTCCCGAGTCCTACAAATACCACCCCTCTCATTTTATTTCTCACAAACAAATCTGTCTCTCAAACTCTCATTATCTCTGAACTCTCAACTCTCTCAATTAATTTTGAAGTGTCATCCCTAAGTGACAATTGCAATTGATCACTTATCTCTATTTTAGATTTATTTTTAGTCATAGTATCTTCATTAAATATAATAGAAATAGTAATATACAAACGATATATTTTTTAAAATATCTATATACACTTATAGACATATATATATATATAATTTAACTAAATTTTAATAAAAAAATATGTTGAAAAAAATTATCTATGACGTGATTTTATTTTGTTATACTAAATAAATTTTATCCTAAATTTTTTCCCCCAACTTTTCTTCATTTTTTTCCTCTACTCGATTTTCTTTCCATTGATTTGCCCTAGTTGTGCCTGAGCTCTCTCTATTTCTTACTCAGACTTCTCTATTTCGCTCAAATTATCAAACGACCATTGTTGATAATTCTTCCTCGCTAGATTCTTCCTCTCTCTACTCTTGTGTCTCTGCAATAGATCATTGAACTCATCACTAATCTCTTTGTCTATTTCAACACTATTCATTCTGGTGATAATTCTTTATCTAGTAAATGCACCTATCTTAAAACTCTAGCTCTTTCACATTATTATGTCATACATACACAAACCTTTGGCCGTAGTTATGATTTGAAAGGTTTTGTTATCATCAATTTGTACATGTGTTATTGAATTGTTAAAAAACGAATATTACGCATTTCATTGTACTGTTCTACTATCTCAGTCCTCTTCATCCTTCAAGCATCTCTCTCATTCTTTACTGTCATTGTAGATATCTCTGATGTTCCTTATCAGAAACGACAGCACCTTTGATGTCATTTTCATAGGCAATAAACCCGTTCAGTCTTTCTCTTTCATATTCCCTTTCCTCTCGTTCTACTAGCTAATCTTCTCTAACTCTCATTTTATGTTCCATGGCTTTAAGTCGTTGATTAAATTATTTAATGATTGTCATTACATTTTGTTTTCTTTATATTATGAGAGATCCCGGTTGGTGATTCTAAGATTTTTAGTGATTTGTTTAGTCATTTTATGATAATTGTTATGAAAATTTGTTGCTTGATTACAATATTTGTGGTTTATAAAAAATTTAGATATTTTTGCTACATCAATTAATTGTGTTGTTATGCATATTGTGATTGATGTTATGAAATGTTTTAGATTGGTTATGACATTTGTGATTTGTAAAAATTTTGATTATTTTTATTATGACAATTAGTGGTGTAGTTATGCATTTTGTAGTTGATGTTATTAAATTTTGTAAGTTGGTTATGACATTTGTGGTTTTTAAAATTTTTGGTTAATGTTACGATATTTTGGGAATTAGTTGCAACATTTGTGATTTTCTATAATTTTAAACAATTTTGTTACGCCGATTAGTGATGGCGTTTTGTATTTTTTGCTTTATATGACAAAACTTTGTAACTTGATTATGATATTTGCGGTTTCTAAAATTTTAAATATTTTTATTACACCAATTAATGGTGTGATTATACATTTTGTAGTTGATGAGTAAAATAGTCTTTTTTTTATTAATTTTACTTAATAAAAATAGATGAAGGATTTATATTAAAAATAAATAAAAAAATTAAGTATAAATTGACAAAATTATAAATTAATAATATATTTTATTATAAGACTTTATTCATAAATGTTTTAATTTTTTTTTATAATGATTATTACATAATTCTGGCCCCATTTTCTCCAAAAATTTGGAACAAACATTCAAATTTTGTCAAAATAAAAATTCCCTCATTAATTATTTTGACAAATCCCTAGACCATTTCTTTAGCCCAAAGAGAGAGAGAGAGAGAGAGAGGGAGAGTAATTTCTGGACTTGGGGTGTGTCGCGAGCTTGCGGGCCAAATTTACATCCCTATATGTGAGTAATAGTTATGAGATATGTGATTAGTGGTTATGATATATGTGATGTTGGTTATGAGGCAAATGGTGTTGGTTATGAGATGGGGTTATAACATAAGTAGGTAAATGTTATGCGATATATAATTAGTGATTATGTGATTTTGGTTATGAACAGAGTGATGTAGTTATAAGTTAAAGGGTGTTTGGTTATGAGATATGTGATTAGTGGTTATGAGATATGTAATGTTGGTTATGATCAAAGCGGTGTGGTTATGAGATATGTGATTAGTAGTTATGATATATGTGATGTTGGTTATGATATATGTGGGTAATGATTATGAGATATTTGATTAGTGATTATAAGATATGTGATTTTGGTTATAACTAAAGTGGTGTCAAATGGTGTTTCGTTATGCTATATGTGTTAGTGGTTATGAGATATGAGATATTGGTTATGATCAAAGTGGTGTAGTTATGAGCAAAAGGATTGTTAGTTATAAGATATGTGATGTTGGTTGACTCAAAGGGGTTGGTTATGAGATGTGATTATGATTCATGTGGGTAATAATTATGAGATATGTGATAAATGGTTATGAGATATGTGATATTGGTTATGAACAAAGTGATGTGGTTATGAGTAAAATGGTGTTAGTTATGAGATATGTGATGTTGGTTATGAAAAAAAGGTATTGGTTATGAGATATGTGACTAGTGGTTATGAGATATGTGATGTTGGGACCCCTGGACTCCTCTAATTTCCTTTGCCCTCTTTTTAGTAACCGGTTACACCGGTTGCCAATTCAAAATTAAATTATTAAAATAATCTAATTATGTGGTAGTTATGAGATAATATGGTATGCATGAATAACTAAATATAACTAAGTTATGAGTTAATATGATAATGATTATGATCTATATGATATTAGTTATAATATAAAATCACATATTCTTATACCTGATGTTGGTTGTGAGATGTGGTTATGAAATATGTGATATTAGTTATGAACAAAATGATGTCGGTTATCAGATGTGGTTATGACTAAATTATGATCAATTTAATTATAGTTATGAAGAAATATGATTTTGGCTCATAACTATAAAAAGTGATCTATTTAATAGGTCACTTTTAATGATGTGGGTCAATCCTAGCCATTGATTTTCTATGTACCGTACGTTTTTTTTAACAAAATATACTATAGACTTTTCCTATACGAATAAAAAGTTTTTAAAAACATCAATTTTATTATATTTTTTAAATAAATTTAAATTAGATGTATCTATAAATGATTTTTTTTTGCATAAAATAATAATAATAATTATAATTTTTTTTTTTTCAATTTTCTAAAAAGGGAATCAAAGTAATCAAACACAAATCCTTAAACATTCAATTTTCTCAAACATTAAAGCCTTAAAATTTTCAATACCTGACTTTTAACATCCCTAACTAGTACAGAAAAATCAAAATGACTAACACAAATATAAAATAAGATAATCAATCACCATTTTCACTACCATTGTCAAGAAGAAGTGGTGGTGAGTCAAAAGTAGGGGTGAGCTTGAAGGTGGTGGCATTACAAAAAAATGAAATTTTAGCAGCGTTTTTTATTCTAAGAGTCTGAAAAATGCTGCTATAGATGGGCTATTGCAGCGGTTATTGACTGCAACAAAAAAATAAACATTTTAGTAGCATTTTTTCTTAAAACGCTGCCATATATTTTTTTATAGTGACGGTTTGACCTCAAACGTTACAAAAAGCCAAGGAAAATAAAGGTCCACCAAATAAAATCAGTTTTTTATTTTAATTTTATTATCATTATTATTTTTATTTTTATTTTTAAATGAATAACATATCAGAATTTCTATCCACCCACAAAAACATATCAGAATTTCAGTCCCAAGACAAAAACCGTTCAACTCCTTGATTACAATTTGTGCCCTAGGCTATCAACACTTGTTTGCGAAGTATATCAGAGCCTTCGTTCATCCTCCACCGCGGCGTGGCGTGTTGACGACGTCAAGCTACAGCGCCATTGTGATTTGAAGGTCAGTCGCTCTCTCCGTTTCTCTTTCTCTATCCCCCTCTTTCTTCTGGTATCTCGGTTTCTCTCTCTACCCCTCTCACTGTCTTCGGACAAGTTTGGGTCCATGGAATTCATTGTTGAGATAAGATACTTGCCATTCCATGCATTGCTTCTAATACCTCCAAAACATCTCTGCTTTGAAGGATTTCATGAACATCTTGAATGATTTTGATTTGGGAAAATAATTTAGAAAATAGATTGATTAACATGTTCTGTATTCTGATTATGATATTCACACACACATTTATTTATATATGGTCATTTATGATATGCATATTTTAACCAATATAATTAGTGAAGTGAATGGATTGTTGTTGATGCTACACAATAAAATCTCATGCTTGAGGAATCATTATGTATGCTAGATATTTGATAAAATGCCACAATGGAGTAATAGCGCCTACCTTTTTGTTTGTTTGTTTATTTATTTATTTTTGTTGAGAAAATTGTTGTCTATGAATTTAATGCACAGTTTTTACTGTTTTGTTGTCTTAATAACGTGATTAGAGAAAATTGTTGCCTCTTTTTATTGTCATTGCTTTTTGTTTATGAAAGTGTGCATGCATTGAACCATGAGATAAATAAATAAATAAATAAAGATGCAAGTTTTCTGGTTTCAAGGGAATTATACATACAGTAATTTGGATTTACAACATTATCAACTTGAGTTTATGTGAAATTATTAATGTTGTCTCATAGGGAACACTGGCCTTTTGGGATTTGGATCTTTTTGACTTTGCACAGATCAAGTGAAACCCTTGTTGGTCTACTTTACCCAAAAATTTCCACACTCTCACACAAAGATATATATATATATATAGAGAGAGAGAGAGAGAGAGAGAGAGAGGCATGTGTTTGATGGATGCTTGTGATCACAATGGCCACAACTTTTCATTTATGTGATGTGTGTGTACAACTTGACTAAAAAAAATAAAGAAAACATTTGGAAGGTCATTTAGACTATTGGATTGGATGGGAAGGATCCTCAAGGCAGGCCTGATATTGTAGGAGGAGTACTATCACTAGCTGTTATATTAAATATGGGAGCGATGACCTGAGGGCATTCAAATCTGGGATACAAGGTTAATGACATTGTACATTGTCTTCTTGATTTTTTTTTTTTGTTTTTTTGAGAGAGAGAGAGAGAGAGAGAGAGAGCACCTTTTAAATGAGCCACATATGCTTCAAGCAGTTTTTGGGGTTTATACAAGGGATGAGGATTCTCCACTGTGATTTATCATTATACTTTTTATTATAGCAACACATGTTAGCAACACATCATTATACTTTTTAACTAATAATTAACTTGAACTCTCCCTCCCTTTGAGATTGATCATTGATGGTCTTGAGCCCATATCCGTAGAATTTTTTTTTCATTTTTTTGTGCTGAGAAATTAAATTTTATGACTTGAACCTATACCATATAGTGATGAGGCAGATGGGCACTTGCCATCTCGCCAAGTCATGAAGTGTTTATGTATCCATTATGTGTTTTAATGGATAGGTATGTGACTTTCAAACTTTATATATGATATTAATGTGAACATATTGCAATGCTAGCAATGAAGTTTTTTTTTTTTAGAAAAACAAATTTTCAAACATTTTAAACATAAAAATCAGTCATGCAACTAAAGCTTGGTTTCCTTGCAAGTTTAATGTATTGGCATGCATAAATGATCAACAAATCACCAGTGTGTTCTGTTCTTATTTTCAAAGATGGCACTTGGTGTGTTTTGTAACTTAGGTGCTGCTTCTCCAAAAAAAGGTGTTACATTAAACATAATCCTCTTATAAAATAGTTCAATTCTTGGGAAAAAAAATATAGGGAAATCATACAAAAATAGTGCCTACCTTTTTCTTTATTGTTTTGTTCTATTTTTCTCTAGTGTTAAAGAAATAACATTTGCTATATTTTAGCCTGAACCTTTTCTGTTGTAAATATACTATCATGTTAACTGCAGTTTATTTTTTTAATATATCTTTCAGACACCAAATAGAAGGGGTAGACCTCCATTTGATCATTTCGACTCAAGTCACTGGTTGCACATAAGTATAATGTGTGATAGATGAGATTTTGTCTTCGTATTTTATATTTTGTACTAGACTATACTACCATTTTGTGTTTTCTACATTAACATTACCTGTCTTGTTTGAGCGTATAACTTTTCCCTTATCTAATTAGTTTGTTTCAATGGTTCTGAATCAGCCAATCATAGCATTGTCTTTAGGTTCAGTTTAGAACCTCCTGCTTCTTTGACTAATGCATTCCTTCATTTCTTCTTCTTTTTTCTTTTATTTTGACAAAATTTTTGTCCATGAATTTAATGCACAATACACTTGTGGAATTTTTGTTGGCCTAATAATTTTTGTGTAAGAGCTCTACCACTTTAGCTACATCCTCAAGTTTGTTTGGGTGAATTTGTGAATGTTAATCTAATTATTTTTTTCTTCAAGATAGTTATAATTAATTTTTTTTTATTATTGAAGTGCATTCTCTCTAAATTTTGATATTATTCATTAATCACATAAAAATTGCTATATATATTTTTTATTTCTTATAGGATCTTATGATTCTTGATTTGATCCTATCTAGGCCGGTAGAATTCCAAAACAATCTTGTGTAACCCCCATTTTTTTACAACCTTGCTTTTTGTTGATAAGGAGTCATGCCTCGTTCTTTTGGTGGTGGAGGTCAGTACTTTTTTTCCTTTTGCCATCTCTCTCTTTCTTTTTGTCTCGTTTTGAACATAATTTAATTATGTGTTTTTTGTCTTTTTCTATTTGTTTTTGGTTTTTGTTAACTGAAACCATTTGCTCAAAATGACAGAGGTTTTTTTTTAAATTTTGATGTCTTTGATCTACTCGCAAAAGGCACGTGGCATCTGTGTACAACTTGCAGCTTATTGGAAACCAAAATTTAAAAACAAAAATTGTCGGTTACTTTTTCATGCTTGATTTATCACTAGTTTTACTCTTATCATTAACATTTCTCTCTGTCTGTATATGTGGATATATTCTAATAAAGCTTCTTTGTTGAACTTCTAAGTTTTTTACAACCTCAACCTATGTTGCAAATTGATGTTTTTATGCTTTAGTTAAAGGCAAATTACACAAAGAGTCCCTGTAGTTTATCCCGTGTCATTTTGGTCCCTGTCATTTCAATTTGCTCAATTTTGCCCTTGAATTTAATGAGGTGTGTCAAATTTGTCCAATAATTGACGGCCGTTTGAAATTCTGGATAGAAAGCCATAACGTGCCTCTCATGTGCTCTATCTAGCAATTACTGAGGGGCATATTCGTCTTTTCACTTCAAACCCTATATCAATTAATTGAGGTACTGGTTACAATCAATGCTCAACATACAAAAATCAGTTCCCATCAAGAACATCAGTGGCCTCTGTCGGCACCGAAGTCGGATTTGCTGCCTCCAACTAATTAATCAGTTCCAAATCCTCCGCCGATGCCCGAAACCCTAAATCAATCCCATAAACACTATCCACCAAGCAAATATGCATAAAAATGAACAAAGGAACCTCTCTTTGGAGATGACTAAGAACATCTGGTATATACACACATTTGATTTTGTCAGTCAATCATTTTTTTGAAATTCCCAAATAAAAGAGAGATCCATGAAAAATACAATAGACCTGAAATGGATAAACAAAAATGCACAAAATGAACTCTCCTAGAGCCAAACACACACACACACACACACATATATATTTCGATGTGTGTATGAGTATTGTTGTATATATTTAGATATAGTGAGAACCTGGACACACTCATAGATATACATACATACATATATTTGTCCAAAGCACAACAAATCTCAGTGAATCAACATCTTCATCGCCAATCTAAGAACATATCTCAGTGAATCAACACACGAAGTGTGAGATCCAGTAGCAAGTAATCTGATAGCCGTAGAAGGAGGTGCGACGGCGGTGAGTAGCACCATGTGGAGAGTCGAGCACCGCCGCTTCTACGAGAAGAGAGATAGATGATCATTCTCGGAGAAGAAGTTGGAAACTAGATTCATCGAACCAGGGCTTGCACGGCAGAGGTGACGACTACGAGAGAGGCCACCGCTATGGGCCTTGCCATGAAGAGGAGAAGCGGAGAAGGAGGAGAGAAAGGCAATGGATCTGGCGGTGAATTTGAAGTGAAGAGACGAATGTGCCCCTCAGTAATTGTTAGAGGGAGCACGTGAAAGACACGTGATGGCTTTCTGTCTATAATTTCAAACGGGTGTCAATTATTGAACGAATTTGACACGCTTAGTTAAATTCAGGGACAAAATTAAGCAAATTGAAATGACAGGGACCAAAATGACACACGGGGTAAACTACAAGCACTATTTGTGTAATTTGCCCTTAGTTTAACTAATACATGTTATGGGTTAATTGTTTTTGCTCAAATTTGTTGCTCGTCTTTTGTAGGAAAATCTTCTTCAGCTTCTTCTGGTTCAAACAGTTAAGTGTGAAGCATTATTCTCTTAATAAACGAAGTTGCTCAATCACTCCCAGTGACTTCCTCACTTTTCATTTCTAAGGGAAGTAGTGATTAGTTTGTTAGCAACTTCTCTAGTTTTCTTCCTTTTTATTTTATGTTTAGGATATCTTGTTTATGTGTTTACCTTTGCTCTTGTGTTCTCTATCTTTGTAGTTGTAAAACTTGCTGCAACTATTTCGGGTTTATCTTCTCTAAGCAAGAACTTGGCAAATTTTCATGTAAAGGAGCCACGTTCATGTGAGATTTTAGAAAAAGAATATGAAGAGGTACAATTTTTCAGAGTTCAGAGTCATTGGGAATGGTTATCGGTGATATAGTAGTTGTTGCATCTTTTCTTAGTTGAGGATGTGATGGCGCAGCCCTTGATTGGTTAGATGCCATTCATCGGATTTGGAAGCCAATGTTGAAGTCCACGGGTCCAAAGTCTTTTTGGTCCCATAATTGTAATTGGTAGTTTATTATTATTTTTTAGTTAGATTTAACTAAATAAAGTTATCCAGGAATATTAGTTGGTTAGGTTTCCAAACTAGAATATAGGACTTTGTTTATATAAATATTAGGGTTTTGACATTGTAATATTTAGTTTTGAGAATAATATTTGAGAGTAAAAGGCTGTGACCGACTTTGAGTTCTTCTCCGTTTGTCTATCTCTTCCTGCACCAGGATGAGTCATAGGTTTATGGCTTAAATCCAAAGATTTAATTTTCCTAACGCAAAGATTTTTAGTTTAATCTCAATGAGTGTTTGGAGAGATTTTTATGTTTTCCTCTTCAATTTTCTTTTTAAGTACAGTGTTTGTACTAATCTTATGTCCTTTCTCTATTATGCAGTGCATGAGCTGAACTCCAACCAGTTACGATGCCCAACACTGTGAAAAAATTCGCAGAAGGATGACATCTTGTCTTGAAAGTAAGTGGGGTTTGTATGCATATCTAGAAACTTCCTTTTTTCCCTAAGGTGCCACTTTTGCCATTAAATATAAAAAAATAAGATGGTTTTGCATTTTAATTATGTAAGAAACTCTATACCGTGTCTCATACAAACCAAGAGTTCCATACCAATTCTAAAAGGAAAACTAAGAAGGTTCAATCATTGTATAGGATTGTATTTTAAGGTGTCTTTATCTATTCTAATATGTCTTTTGATCCATCAAAATGCAAAATCCCATGTTCTAAGGTTTTGCTTTTTGGAGGGGGTTGTTTGTGGGAGTAGTACGTGTTGACGGAATCAAGTAAGTATTCGCCTAATCACTAATTTTTGGGATGTCATTAGATGGTTGTAGGCCTTCCAATTTACTGTATTTATTGTTTTTTGTTTTTTTAAATTTTTAAATTTTTTTTGGGAGGCAATGTAGTTAATAAACTTGTTTGCTTTGAGTTATTGTACAATGTATACTGCTTTTGCTTTGTAATTATAGTTATTGTTACTTATCAAAAAAGCGGCTTGCATTAGGATTAGGATTGGTGAAAGTTGGATCTTAAGGTCTAGAAAACATGTAATGCAAGCTATTTGGGTGTGATTAAATAAGGTTACTTTCATAAGAAAGATAAAGAAACAAAGAGACAACAGGGTGTAAATTTGATGAATGGAGACAAAAGTGTGTAATATTAAGAAGGGATAAAGTAAAAACCAGTGTTTTAAAAAGCGCGCTTAGGCGCGCGCGTAGAAAATTGTGCTTTATTAATATTTTGCTTAACTTCTATAACTTGCGTCTCGCTTTGGTGAGGCGCGCGCCTCGCCTCGCGCCTCGGGGCTTAGGCTCCAGGTGACCTTGGCGCCTCGATGCGCCTAGGGCTTTTTAAAACACTGGTAAAAACAAGAAACCTATGGTGGGCTGAAATGATTAGGTTTGGAAACTAGATCCCAATTTATAAAGCTGTGGTTAGTGCTAACTTGTTAGGTGGTCTTCTGGTAATCCAATAGAGAATACATACTGAAAAATGTAGGCCAATTATTATTGATTTGTAGTGTTTGGGAATTTTGTATCCAAACTTAGGGTGTAACATACTTGGTACTTAACCAAACCAAACCTTGTGTCCCAATCAATTGGGGTGGGCTACATGAATCATTTTTCTCCATTATGTTTTGCAGGGCCATATGCTTAAGTAAATTCATATCCTTCTTCACCATGTCAATCTAGGTCTTACCCTCCCCCTAGCATTTCCATTAGCAGTAATCCTATTGCACTTCCTTACTGTTGCCTATACCAATCTTCATTGTACATGTCCTACCTATCTTAGTCTATTCATTTCTAACATTATCAGCTCCAATTGCAGAGGTTTTGTTTATAGCAAAATTACAAATTACTAACATTAATAGCTCCAATCACACTACATAATTGGCGCTCATAAGGTTATTGATTTGTAATTTGTTTTAAACAAAAAATCTTTAATGGAAAGAAAACTAATGGCTTGGGGGTGGGGGGAGAGGAGTGCTACATTAATTAAATATAAATAAATATATTTGTGGAGACATCATGCAAGCTTTGACCGTTTAAACTATTGATAAGGTGGAGTAACGCTTCCTTTGAGTTATAAAGGTTATTGATGGTCCTTTTTTATTCGATCAATATGGGGTGATCAGTTGGAAGTGAGACTTCTAAATGGTGTTTCTCCAATAGGAAATGTTCAATTGCTTCAAGAACAGGAAAGATGGCTTGAGCTTGGTGATTTGGTTATGAAAAGTTGGAAAGAGATGGTGACGGCGATGCATGAAGGCTTTTTGAAGGATGATCTTGATCAAGAGCATTTTTGTGATGATGACGGGGGTATTTAGTCAATTCATAGGGAAGACATTGATGAAGGATATTTTAGTGGTTGTCAAGCATTGGCAAAATTTGAGGATTATGAATCTGATGACTTCTTAGATGAGTCTTTGGATGGCGATGATCGCAACAAAGACTCGATCTCATTGTTGCGAGAGTTCAACTTGATATGGTGATTTTATTCAACAATGCTTCTAACCAAGAATGAGCGGGAAATTATTCAGTTTGATACACAGAAAATGAGGGAGCAAATTGTAATGGGGTAATGGTGTTTTCATTGTTAAAATGGATCCTAATTTATGTGAATCAAATGGGTATGATCATATGAGTACTTGTCTTTGAAGGGGCATTATTTGCTTTCCATTTTTGGTTATGTTTATCATCAAAACAAAGTGGATAGGAATTGTGATGCTTGCTCTTTTTTATCATTTTTTATTTTTTTCTTACCAAAGGTTAATTTTGATACTGAATCTCAACCACCTTCCAATTCTTTGAGAAATGCTTGCATTGGGGCTCGAGATGATATTCATTTTCCTAGTAAGGATCTTATACTAGTAGGTGGCTGTGATTCTAATGTTGCTGTTATTTGCTTTGGACTTATTATGGAAGGGGAATCTGGTAACGTTGAAGAGGAGGGGGAAAGGATTTAGGAGAGAGTGGGATTTACGGGTGTTTACAGCCCGAACAATCCTAGGTTAATGGCTTTCTTCTAGGAGGAGTTAGTTGTGTCAGTGGTGACTTTAATGTCATTACGATAGTTTCAAAGAAGATTAATGGGGATAAGGTTACTTGAAGTATGAAGGATTTGATATGTTCATTAGGAATTGTGATCTCAGTCTATCACCGAACTTATATGTAAGGCGGCTGATGGGATGCACTTTCATCACAAGTCCATAACCATTCTCATACCAACTTTCTTAAGGCTGCATGTACCTTTAAAGTAAGTAAGTTATTTTTTGTTTTTCTTTTTGTATGTGTGTGTGTTTTGCATTAGCGGTACGAGAGAGTGGTGGTCGAGATTACGATAGGAAGAATTCAACCTAGCCTGTTGGATAGGATCTTCTTCGCGATCACCTTGTAACTAAAGTTACAAAGATTGATTGGCCTGAAATCTGGAAGGGTCTTAAATTTTAGGCAAGCAAAGATGATTGACTGTAGCATATTATATTAATGACTTATCCAGTAACCAGTTATCTGTCCAAAAGTGAGCTTCAGTTCCATCTCCAATAAGCCAACGAGAATTCTCAGTTAGAAGCTTATCATTGGAAATTCTTTCAGACAAGCTTTGAATAATTTTGACGAGTGACCAGCCACAGAGGCTTTTGTTTAACATATATATATATATATATATAGGTTTGAACTGGCTGAGTTTTTTTTTTTTTGGGGGGTTTTTGGAAAAGGTTGTTTTTATTTTTGTTGACACTGTATGCTGTAATTGGATTTCTCATGCTTTAGTCATCGACATTTGTTTGATAGCACAAGCTGCCTAATGTTGGTTTGTGTCTAACCTCCTTGAGTTTGAGGGGGACTGTTAAACCTACTCCACTAAACCTAACCCACTACACCACTACCACCTCCACTTCACCTACTCCTTACCTACTACACACTCACCCTCTTCTATATATAGGAATCATGAATCATTGTAATAACATCAATATATCAATCAATAATACATCAATCATAATATATACACAATTTATGCTCTCTCTCTATCAGTTTATTTTACAGTTTGAGAAAGTTATAAATACACCCCTTGAGGTTTATCAAATTTTCATTTGACACCTTGAGGTTCTAGAAAATAAATACTGCCCTTGAGCTTTCAAATCACATGACAATTCTCAATCGGTAACTAACAAAAGTAGATGACGTTAGCAATTTTATTTTTCAACATACCTAAGCGCTTGCTCATATCTCTCTCCGTCTTTCCTATTCTCTTCATTTCTCCCTCTCTTTCCCCCTCAACCACTCCCCTTAAAGAAAACCAATGACTTTTTCAATTTATTTTTATTGTTGCATACTCACATATACATGCATATACAACTTTGTTAATGATTGCAAATTGCAAATACCAGTAAGGCTACATCCTTGTGAGATTATGTATTGAACTTTTGGCCTGGAACATAATCTCACTTTTGGCCAGTATCTTCCAAGCCCCTTTATATACATTTCAAAATTCTTGTAAAATATGCCGTATTTGGTCTTGGTTTTATAACTTGTATAGAGTTGGCCGCTCCAAAATCTCAATTTATTTGAAACCTTTAGTTAGGGTCATGATACAATACACATGATGTATACCACATGCTAATTATGGTCGAAATTGGTGGCGGTTACTAGTCATTGTGGTTTTTAGTTATGGGCCATTGTGCTGGTGAGGCTAACAAATTATTAAATAAAAATTGGTTATGTTTGATTATGTGTAAAAGTGATTTTAGATGACTCATGTTACGACCAATATGGCTATGATCAGTGTGATAAAAGTATTCAGTATATGCTATTATTTTTTTATCTTTTTATTTTGTACTTTTTGTTTTGTAAATGTCAAGTATTTAATATAGTCTGAAATTTTATTTGTGAATTTAATAATCATGTTAATAGTGAGCATCTTTGGCCTCAGCCAAAACGCAGGGCACACCCACCACACTCCCAAAACGCACACACTTGCTGCTCGAAACCCACACTGAACTAGTCAACAAAAAAACAACGAATTCACCACTCAACCTCTAAAATTTTATACAGATGGTAATCAAAATTTCTCCATAATCTTTTTTTCAGCCCTCTCTACGCTTTCAACAATAGATATATCAATATGAATCAAAACATTAAGTGGTAATTGTTCCTCCTACCTGATTAGTAGAGCATTCCCCCTAGCTTTATTCTCTTTTGTTTTAGCTTTCTTCTCCATGGATGCTAAAGGGTATGAATCCCTCACCCTTAGCTATTCGTAACATATCTGGTGCACGAGAAAGAAGGATAGGAAAACACCATTTCAAGGCGGAACACTTGTGCCACTTGAAGAGGGAATATCAACATAGAAATAGTGTGGTCTTAAAAGCCCGCTAACCTACTTGTGGCACTTGATTATCCTTTACTTACACAAACATAAACAACCAACCATTTTCAAATTTAGTACTCAGAACCATTCCTCAACACACCTGAAATTTTACCCAAATCTCCAAGGGGCAGCTATTGTAATGACTGTGTTGAACCTCGCAAATGATGCACATCTACTTCAACAATGGTGGATCGATGACCAGATGGTGTGATTGCTGAGCGGGGCTTTACTTGTTCAAGGTCTATCACTGTTAAAGCGGGTGGCTAAAATAGGTTCTATCAAATTGAATTTGGAAGACAACGATACTGGCAATTTGTAGATTCTTGTTTGACAAACAGTGTGGTCGTCAAAACAAGCTAACCCTCTTGTTACACTTGATTGTGTTCTTTATTCTGAATCGACATTCCATGGATTTGACATGCAAACGAAGAAACACAAAGGGTCTGTTTGGTGCAAGCTTATTGTAAGCTTAGAAGCCAAAAACATCCGTTCCCCTGCTTTCAAACTACGTTACACGGACTCGGGTGCAGGTGCGTATCTAAGGGTCAGACACCTGAAAACTAAAAATGAAGGATACGTGGATATGGATCCAAATTTGGATACGGATACGGGGTACATCAAATAATTATTTCTTAAATATGTATTTTTTATAAACATGAGTTAAAAAGTTGACCCAATAATTTTTTTTTATATATAATTTATGGACCAAACATATAAATTAGTTACATAACAGCCCATGGTATTAAAAGATTTGTTGGCCAAACTTTTAATAGGCCAAAATTTTAGTGGGCCCAAAATTTTACTTATCTGGTCCAGCCCAATTTTTTTTTAAAATTTTTTTTTATAAAAAGAATAAAATAGAGGGATGAAATATAATAAATAAAGAATAAAAGAGAGAGAGAGAGAGAGGCAGATCTGGAATAGAAGAGAGAGAGAAAGAGAGACGTGACAGAGAACGAGAGAGGGGCTTACAGTCGTGCTTTCGAAGACGAAGTTGAAGTCCATGAAGACAAGGTCGAAGGACGCGAGCAGGGGGATCGAAGTCGGCGACAGGGGGATTGATGTCTTGCCCTTTCGAAGTCAGCGACAGGTTCTCTCCTTGCTCTCTTCTCTTTCGTTTCTTCTCCCGTACCCATTTGTACAGAGCCATATCCCACACCCGTACCTGTGTCGTGTCGTGTTGACACGAGTACCTCCCTAAAAATGAAGAGTCCGTGTAATGTAGCTTTCAAATAATCAGCTTTCTTTTTCAGATTATTAAGCTATTTTTACCTAACAAGTTGTAAGCAAAAGTTGCATCAAATAAAAAAAAGCTATAAGCAGCTGAAATAAATTGCACCAATTAGCCTCAAAGCTATTATTCCAACAACTTCTCCTAGGAAAAGAGCTTTTATTAAACCAATTGTTGATGGTGGTGATAAAGTGAGAGAGAGTGAAAAGGAAGTGGGCTGAAACTTGAAGGGTGCTCTTTATTCTGATTGGACATTCCATGGAAGTGACATACAACCCATGAAACACAAAGCTATATTTCCAACCCATTGATACTTTTGCGGAGGAAGCGTGTTGTGTCTGACACCGAGACTCTTTGAACACTCTTAAAATTGTGTCCGACACTTCAGCTTGTTTTAATTGAAAAATTAAATTCATAATAACGATTCTTTGCAGACACTTTGGCCACATTTCTTGAACCCTTTGAACAAGTCCTATGTGATGAATCCCATTATAATAACAATGTTTTGTATTCTTTAGAGCACAACTTGCGCACTCTAAATATGTTTGGAAACATTTGTAAGATGATTGCATTATATGTATTACAATGTTTTATATTGTTTTGCATTTTTTATAATGTAATTGTCATGTGAATATGAAATATATTGCCTTTTAATGTAATTACTTGTTTTATTATTTTTATCCTAAGCGTGTCGTGTTCTGCATTTTTTGAAAATCACTATGTTGGCATATTTGTGTTTGTGCTACTTAGGTTCCAACAACTTAATCTTGTGAGAAAAGAGTGTATTAAAATTTAAACCAATTGTTGATGGTGGTATGATAAAGCGGGAGAGAATCAAAAGGAACAAAGGGATTGAGGCTAAGTAGAGAACAAAGGTAATATAGAGAGCAATTGTTGTAACTTTCTCCTCCATGGCTGCCAAAGGGTGTTGGTTGAGCGTGGGAAAGTGGTGGGGGTGGCAGTTGAGGGTGGGCAAAGGGTAGAGGGGTTTGGATGATGGAGGTGCTGTGGGTATGTAGGTATTTTATATTTTCTATTAGTTCTATTAAAAGACAAATGCTGACAAGGGATATTTGTACTTTCTTAAATCATGATGGAAATTTGTATTTTTGATAAATCTTAGGGAGTATATTTGTAATTTAACCGAATTATTTTTTGTTATCTACATGGGTGAGGTGAGTTGGGTTTTGCTTTTTAATGCAGAGCGTCGGGAATCTCTCCAGAAAGAAGCAACTGCTGCAGGTTTTGCCTGTACTGAAGATTACAAAAATCATAAAAGGGATAACGACCCTAGAAAGTGCAGAATAGCTTATGAGAAGTACAAGAAGGTAAAACTGTGTTTATATTGGGAACTTGTAGATATTTGTTCATGTGCTATAATAATCGTTTTTTTGCTTTTTAAAATTGAGAATGAAAAATATGTGATGTGTAGTTCACGGTAGAATTGTATGGTTTAAATTCATTCTTATTTTGAATCCCATTTCAATTTTTTCCTTGCCTATTGAGTTTTATGATCAAATCTATTATCCTTTTCAATCCTAAGGATCAAGAATCGGTGTCAATGTTGAAGACAAATACATTATCATGTTAATCATCCGTTTCTCTTATTCATTTGTTATTATAGCTTGTAAATAATGAATATGGTAGGATAGGAAACAATGAATGTGAATTTGATGCAGTCCTTGGTTATATCTATTAAGTTATCCTATTTATGTAAACATAATTCATATTATTGAACCTAGGACTGCATCAAATTCATAACTTGAAATCGGAATTGATCCTTAAATTAGTTTGCTTAAAATCGTAGGTAAAATAATTAATTTCTTTGCCGGAAAGAGGAACCAAAACCCATTATGCATGGATTATTTTGACTCTTTCGTGGCTTTGGGTTCAAGGCTTCTTGGGGGCGATGCGGTTCCCATCCACCTGTGCTTCTGACCTCCGCTCGTTAGGACATTGGTGGTTGGTGTCAAGCTATGGCAACTGCAGATCCCCTTTATGCTGGAACCCCCACTTTCTCAAACCCATCAAAGTCCCTCGTCTGGCTCACTAGCAGGTAGTGGTTTCATTGGTCACGCTCAAGGGGGATTGCTACTATTTGTCACTCCTACCCTTGTTTATCAAGCAAAATATGAACTTTTTCCTATGTTATGTATGATCTCTTTTCATGTGTGTGATTTATGGATACTGATTAAGAGTTGTCATCATTTTCAAGTTCGTTTGGTTTATTTTCCTAAGACACTATGCTTGGAGTTTGAAATTTTTTGGGAGGGAATAGTTCTCTGTATTTTATTTATTACAAATCTATAATCTAAAACACAGTCGAAAAGGAACTACCTTCAATCTTCTAATTGTAAACTATATTGTGATGAATAGGGAAAATGTTTTATGTGCTTTCTCGTGTATTTATTGCCTTTTTTTCTTTGGTATGAGATGTTATAAATAACCTCAATATATATATTCAATGACAGAAATATTCTCATTCTTTCATTGTATTCCATACTTCGTTTTTATTGGAGAAGTATTCTCTCATTGCATTTGGAATTATTTAATTAACTAGTGTGTTCGTACTAAACAAGTTAGTGTTACATAAACATGAGGTCCAGATTTTTAATAATTGTTTCTCTTTCTTGAATTGTGCAGTGCCTTAGCGAGGATGAAAATAATAGATTTTGTCAATTCTATATCAACAATTGTCCCCAATTTAAGTAGGCTCTCCTAAATGTCGTGCTGCTGTTCTCCTTGCCACTACTTCGTGAATGTCCCGAGCACACCGAAGTTTATATATAAGTTATGCCTCAGATCAGAGACTATTATGTATGGATGGAGTAATTATCTAGTTAGAACAATGCTTCAATTTAAGTAATTTTGCAAGTTAAAGTTTGTTGTCGTATATTTATACATACATATATATATCAGAGATGTTTGCAACCAAGTTAATTCATATCTTGTTTGTAAAATGCTTTGCAATTTTTAAAATATTAAAATAGCAGTGTTTTGCTTAGGCAGATAAAATGTTGCTTGCTTGCAATAAAGTTTTCGATCAGATTAGATTGTAAATAGCTTTTATTTATTTATTGTGTTTATGAAATTTTCTTGCATGCCTCACAGGGTAACTCATAATTTTCTTGAGAATTCATCATGTACATTACAAACACTTGGGAGCAAAGCTTAATTTTTAATATATATATATATATATTTTCATGCCTTACAGGGTAAACAAATGAATGAAACTGGAAGATTGAAATAGGAACGGGATGACAGTGTATTTGAGCCAAGCCTAACCTGTTTCCAAATTTGTGAACAATGAATTGGGACGAAACTTTAATTTTTTTTTTTTTTATTTTTAAATTCAGACAAATAGTAAACTCAATATATTCAAGTGTAAATTACAAACACAGATTTATTTAAAATATAAATTATCACTTCTAATTATGAAATCAACTTTCTAGTTGCTCAACAAATTACTTGTTTTATTAATAAAATCAATATCAGTAATTTTTTTTTAAAAACACCAATTTTATTATACTTTTTAAATACATTTAAATTAGATGTATCTATAAATGAAATTTTTTTCCGCATAAAATAGTAAAAATAATTATTAAATTAAAATGTCCATGACAAAATCAAATACACATTAATTATTAATTAAAAAGTTTGTTTTAAAATAATGAAATATATAATTTTGAGACAATTAGATAAACTTTTAGTAATTAAAAAAATGTGGAAAAACGTAAAAGATTAAAAAAAACAAAGAAAGAATAAGTTATACTTCTCATCTCCAACTTTTATAATTTTACTTTGGTGGCCCATATTCAAACTATTGTTTCAATATAGTCCTTCACTGAGTTGTAAAAATATATAATCCCTCAGTCTCAGAACACAAGAGAAAGTGAAAGCAGAGTGAGAAACCCATCCAAAGCGAGAGAGAGAGAGAGAAAGAGAGAGAGAAAACAGTTGTTGTGAAATGCCAAAGCACATCCCAATTCCATTAGGCAAAACTTAAATTCAAAAACATCAAAATTCTGAAGAACATAAAATCAAATAAGCAAAGACAAAACAAATCCATGATAGAGAGAGAAAGAGACTCAAGTAGAATCTAGGTTTGTAATCAATCACCATTCCCACCATTTCCATTTCCATTTCCATTTCCATTTCCACTTCCACTTCCACCACCATTGTCAAGTGGTGATGGTGGTGAGTCAGAAGGTAGTGGTGATGGTGGTGAGTCAGAAGGTGGGGGTGAGGGAGAAGGTGGTGGTGAAGGTGAGGCGGAAGGTGCTCGTGGGAGTGGAACAGTGGGCGGATTTGGAATTTGAAGCTTATAGAGCACCAAATCCATCTTCATATCCAGCTTTGCAATACCATCCTTGATTCCACCAACATCAGATGCAATATCAGTAATCTCAGCCTTCATTTCTCGTTCGTCAATGCCACTCGCAGTTTTCCAAAGAGTCCAGACGGCATCCTTGAATTTGCCCTTGTGAATCGATTCCAAATTCGTACCAGTTTTGATGAGATTATCAAGCATTCCTTGAATCACTAGGAGAGATGCCATACGGTCTAGAGCATCATAGTATGAAGAAGAAAAAATAAAAAATAAATAAGAACATATACGTATACGTCAAATCAAGTTATATATATCAGATCAAAACAGACTAGTTACTCCTCGTGTTCTTCCTTGAGGCATCATCAGAGTCGTCATTGTCTTCACCTCCTATTTTCACAGCACCAGAAGCACCTCCTCCTCCTTCTCCTCCTCCATTGTTCTTCTTCGCTTCTCGTTTCTTCTCGTCCTCTTCCAACTTCTTTTCCAGCATTTGGCGCAGCCCTCGCTCACCGTAACCTTTCACCATGAAAGCTGCTTCAGGTCACATCAACAAGAAACACAATTAATCAAACATACTGTATCATACGGAAAAGAACATATATCAATAAGTTCAATAAACTCACCCTCCATCCTTGAAGCTCAACTTCTCCCGAAGAATCTTCACCGCTGAAGCAATCTGGTAAGCTCTCTTAGCCGCCATAGTATGCACGAGATTAGACAGAGGAGAGAAAAGAGAGTGACAGAAGAGGGTTTATATAGAGAGACGGTTAGAGAGAGAGGGTGGTTTATATAGAGTAGATGACAATATGAGATGGCATAATATGAGACGGTTATTCTATTTTGTAATAAATTTATTTATCCTATTTTGTAATAAATTTATGTCATATTTTAAATTAAAATTTGGGTTAAATTTATTTTATTTTCTTGTGGTTAGGGTTAAAGTATTTTATCCTCTATAATATAATCATAACTCTTGTTATTATTAATGTTGTCATCCAAATTAATTGGAGGTATGATACACACTATTTTTTAGAATGGATTTGATTTTTTTAAAAAATAAAGTGAAATTAATAAAAAATAATAATTTTACCTAAATTTTTTTCAAATGTAAAATTAAATTAATATGTTAATAGAAGGAAGTGGGACTAGCTCTCAATGGGGGATAAAATTGAAAAGCATGACGGGAGAGGAAGTAAGGAGTATTGTTGGGTCATGGCAGGCAGGATTGTCATTTTTCTCCACCTCGCTTTGCACCCGTATCTCTCGTCCTGTACGAATTTTTTCCGCCCCAATTAAAAAATGAGGTGGAGACGAGTTTTGCTTCATCCGTCCCGTTCCACCTGAACCTCGTCCCAATTATATTTGTTAAATATATTTATATTATATGTATATAATATATATTTGTCTTTCATTATAATAAAGGTAAAACATTAAAATATTAGATTTAATATTAATTTTTATTCATTAATTTTTTATCGTATACAATATAATTTTCATTAACATTTTTATTTTTTAACTTAAAAAATTATACCACCTCCCGCCCTGCGCCTGCTCCGCTTTTGTCACTCTCCAATTTATCTCGCTCCCAAAATAATACGAGGCGGAAGCGAATTTTTATAAATCTACCCCCCAAACCTGACCCATGATCATCCCTAAACAAGAGACGATAGAGGGTTGTTATTTGGGTAAAGCGGCTGTGGAGGAGAATTGTTGGTAGGCTTACAGTTAGAAGTTGTGAATTTCATTCATGCACACAAAAATTTACACCATCATAAAAATAATTCTTTTTACTACTCTACTGAAATGTAATTTTCCTATCTTTTTAATGGATCTTGCTAATGACAAATAATAAATATATAATTCCTATACTTTCTTTACATATTCAAAAATGCTACTATGAATTTTAGGGGTGTTTTGGGAAGTTGGTAAGAGCATCTCCAACCGTGAACTTCTTTTTTTATCAAATCTGAGGAAAAAAAAGGATGATTTTCTCAATTTGATACCACTGGCTCCAACGGTGCATCAAAAGGTGCATCAAAAGGGGGAGGGGCGACCGGTTGGTCGACCGACGGGTCAACCAGCCAGTCAACCGGTAAGGCCATTATTATTTTTTTCATCCACTAACAGTGAAGTGGGAAGGCAAAGATGAATATTGTTATACAAATCAAAACGGTGAGTTCTTACTCCACCGTTGGCAAGGGCAATCGCCATGATAGCAGCAGCTTCCATAACCCATGACAGAGGGTTCCACATAAATCTCAAAAACTTCAAGAATTTACTCTCTAGAAACAAGCCCAACATAAATCCCAAAGAGGGTATTAGTAAGAAATAGCACCTCCTTCTCTTCAAGTTTGTTGTGCCCAAAAAGCTCCAACCTCTGCTGAGCAGACTCAGTGGAGAGACCTTCTCTGCTACATCTCAGATTCTCCTGCATTCACAGACCTCAATTCCATTAAAACCCAAATGAAATAAAAACCCAAATGAAACAAATAGTCATAATTCTCTCAGATCGATTACCAAATCCACAGCTTCCTTCAACACAGCCTCTGAAAAAAGATGCTCAGGTTTGGTTTGGTTCAGGGTTGCTGGTGGGTTGACCGGCCGGTCGATCGGCCGGTCAACCGGTAAGGCAAAATATAATTTTTTTTTTTTACCTGTTTGAACCTTTTTTGACCGATTTGAACCTAGGAATTCGGTCGACCAGTTGGTTAACCGGCCGGGCAACTGGCTGGTTGACCGGTTCCTCCCTCCAACGGTCACACACAATGTTTTGATGAAATATGTATTCCGTCCTCAATTTGATGAATTGTTTGCTGAAATCTCAATTTGATATCAATTTGGTGCAACTGTTGGAGCACCAAACAGTAACTTTTTCACCAAATTTTAAATTTGATGCCAGGTTTGATTTAGGGTTGGAGATGGTCTAAAAAGCTGACTTTTGGCTTTTTACCAAGCTTTTTAGCTTTTTGAAAAGTGATCTGGGAAGTTGGTAAAAAGTTGACTTTTTTCTTTTTAATTTAATATTTATTTATGGTGTCAAATCAAATTAAAATGACCAAAATATCCTTACCCAACATAAGAAATTTTTATTTTTTATTTTTTTTTCATAGGCCTTAATTTGTAATTTTACACCTGCGTTTTTAGCACTTGTCAAACCAATTTTCTAGCGTTTTTGGCACTTGCGTTTTTAGACATTTTGTCCAAAAACGTGACTTTTTGCTATGTTCCTAAAATGGCACTTAATGCATTTTTGTACAATTTTTCAACACTAACAATAATTTTAATGACTGGTTTTTATTTTATTTTTTTTAATTAATAAGTTTAAAAATTTGTTAAAAATTATATATTTTATGAGTAAAACAAATTTGATGCAATATTTAATTTTTTAAACTCGTAACATAAAATACTATAATTTTAGATAAAATTAAAAATAATATATATATATATATATGGAAAGTTGTAACTTCCCATGAAATCACCATATGGGATAGTGGACATACGTTAGTCATCCATTACCCATTAAACCAATTAAATATATATAATATAAATAAATAAATAAATAAAACAAACATGTGGCATATGGGCCACTTTATGAATATTCTTACAGATAGCCCATTAGCATACAAAAATGATTGGGCAAATTATAAACAATGCTAATGTAGTATTCTTGGAAAACGTACACCTA